CCAATATTGGTGTGTTTATTCTTCCAAGTACTAGTTGACAAAGGTACTTTAAACAGTAAGTTTCAACAGTTATCCACCAAGTCAATGAGGTTCATTGAGTCAATGCGATCCTACATTATACATGTTACAAGTATTTATATGTCAGATACATATTATGTCAATTGTTCATTTTATGTCCCCTTACGTGGAATGTACAACCCTTATTTGGGTTCTGTCATGTGCTTCATTAGTTTGGATGTGTATGCACTCTTTCATTTGATATTGTATACTAAGTGTTTAGCTATTGTATCATCTTATATAGTCCTTGCCTCTACATTTGAGAAGTTACAGTTTCTACTAAGTGTTTAGTTGTCGTATGCCCCCATGTGAAATGTCCAACGTGTTTTAAATGAAGCATCATCTAAGCAGAATTACTTGTTCACTTGCTATACATCTTAATGAATCATTTGATGCATGTAAGATAGTTGCCACACACCTTCGTGGATCACCTGTATATTTTCTTTGTGCCCAAATGAAGTTCATGAGTCATATAAGTTCCTAAGTAGCGCAATAAAGTTGCATTTGCTTTCTATATCACTGTTTTCTGCCTCAATTAATTTATCCACATGTCCACATCATTGGTATATAGTCCTAAATCTCAAGAAAGGTTATGAACATCAAAAGAACAATCTCAAATATTAAAGAGACAAGGTAAAGTGAATTTATATAATTATGGGTGGCAGCTCAGGGGTTAAAATACCTAGCATGGATCGATCCTAATTATTGTGCTTAAGGGTGGCAGCTCAGGGGTGGTAATACCTAGCATGGGTCGATCCCAATTTATATTATTATGGGTGGCAGCCCAGGGGCTAAAAGCCTAACATGGGTCGATCCCGATTTGTATATTTATGAGGACCACATCCCAGGGGTTAAATTGCCTAGCATGGGTCATCCTCTCCTACCACTGATCAGTTGTTCATTGTGTCATGTGCTATAGAGTCTATAAAGAAAAGATGAGTAAACTAAAGCCAAGAATGTAATGTACATGATTCCTCAAGTATAACCAAAGAATGTAATGTACATAATTCCACAAGTATAAGCAAAGGTGAATGTAATGTACATGAGTCCTCAAGTATAGGTAGAGGTGAATGTAAGGTATGTGATTCCACAAGTATGATCAAAGGTGGTCTCTTAACCTTATCTATACAGAATATTTGTGCATTTGTACCTAATTTCACTTGAGCTCTTATTTTACATATGGTTACTTTATGCCTTACATATTCAGTACATTCCTTTGTGCTGACGTCCCTCCTGGGGATGTTGTGTTTCATGCCATAGGTGCAGGTAGTCAAGCTAATAGAATCTCTCAATATAAGCATAGGATACTCAACGACCTTTGGTGAGTTCTAGGTTGCTTCAGGGCTTTGCCAAGTCTCTAGCATATATATTAGTTAAGGGGTATGATGGGGTCCTGTCCCGTTATAAGCTAAGTGTTTATCTTTTAGAGGCTTTGTAGACTAAATGTCAAAGTAAAGCGTGGTTATGTCTTGTCTAGTAATTAAGGCTTCAACGGCCTAGCATGTACATTTATTTTGGGGCCTATCTATGTTGACCTTTTATCAAGGTACTTGACCTATACTCATCAAATATTTATAGTTATCATAGTTTTATGTACGATAAGCACAAGTCATAAGTTGGTTCTCTCGGGCCTTTAGGGCATCGGGTGCCTATCCGTCTCAATGGGACTTGAGGCATGACAACATACTGATTTTAATACAAATTCAGAAAGGATACAAAAATTCTAGAAAAAAAACTATAAAAACAAAACAAACAAATAGGAAGTTGTTCTTCCTATAAATAAAATACATAACTAGTAGGAATACCTTTGGGATGCATATAAATTAGGAACAAATACAAGATTCATAAACTATGGAACGTGAGATTTTGAATGAATACAAATATTAATAGCATACATACTAGTTTGAATACTAATTGAGAAAGGATACAAAATTCTGAAAAAAACTATAAATACAAAACAAACTAATATGAAATTGTTGTTCCTCAACTTGGTCTTCAGCAAGGTTTTTGAAATCTTCAGCACCCAAAATAAAAATTATTAATAGTGTCTCTACCCTTGCTGACATTGCTATCTTGAATTTAAATGTGGGTAGAATCATGAACAAACTTAGATCTCCTCTCTTGAGCCATTTTAGCCGCAGAGCCTACATTTTCGAATAATCCTTGAGTAATACATAAATCCAAAGAGGGAAAATCCTCAAAAAGTTGATGATTATATGGGATACCTCTTGTAGTTCTCTTTGAATCAAGCATTGGAGTGCAATCTTTGTATTTTTCCATTATCTAAAACTGTAACTGAAAATGGAGAGATTGAAAAACACAAGAACGCACAAAAATCTAAATAACTTCAGATGAAAACATAGAATAATAGAATACAAAAAAATCGAAAACAAATCCCTAAAAATCTGAAGAAATCCTAAAGGATGTATTTCGAACTTATGCTTACCTTAATCAGTGGATTGTATGATTGTGGAATTGTGATGTACATATCTATGAAGATTTTGCCAATTTCTGGGGAAAAAAATCATGCAATATTTTAGAGAGAAAAGCGGGAGAAAGAAGTTTCGGAAGAAGTATCGAGGGAATGGGGTGATGGAATTTTGCCATTTTTTTAAGACGGAGAAGGGCATAAAATGCCCCTCAACTATTTGAATTGGTACAAAACTATCCTTCATCCATCTTTGGGCCCCCAAATACCTCTAACGTTAATCTTTTGGCTCAAAAATACTCTTATGTCTAACAGATCATACTTATTAGGTGGATGAAGGGTAATATCGTACCAAATCTCATAGTTTAAGGGCATTTGAGGCCCTTTTTCCGTTAAAATAATTTAAAATTATTTAATATATAAGCTCATATGATTGACTTGATTTTGCATTTCATAGTAAATTTTTAAAAAAAGTAAGGGATCTACTCTCTACACTCCCCCCCCCCCCCAACTTCCTATCTCTTCCATTTTTGTTTTCTATTTGGATCTTGTCCACCATTTTAATTTTTTTTCAATTTATGACAAACAAGAAAAAAAAATAACGATACATTCATATATAAATAATTAGTTCAATAAAAAGATGACTTAATTAAGTAAATATGTATGAATATTACATTTTTCTTTTGTGTGTACCTAAAATTCAAAAAAAGAGAATAAAAATAATCTTTTCTATTATCCCCGTCCTCATCCCACCATAACAATAATACAAATTAAAAGAATATAAACATGTGAGTTCATTTCAAGTTTGAGTTTCGGATATCCTAATTAAGAATAAGAGATTAAAAAAAGAATAAAAGAAAAAATGAACAAGACATTTGGATTATTGATAGAGAAGTTTATATTAATGAAAATAATATTTTTTTGATGGACAATCAATCGGGGCAAGTATGGATTTTAGTTGGATCCTCATTTATGAGTTGGAATACGTTATAATAAATTGTGTGTTGATTTAAAATAGGCCAATAGGAAGATATCATGAAATTAATTATTTTTTCAATATTATTTTCAAGTGTATCGGGTCAAAATATGAACCATATATTGTTTTATAAAAAAAAAAATTAAAAAACATTTTTATTATTTATTTGAGAAGGGTTTAAATTTGGACCAATCACATTAAGCAATATAATAAATAAATATTTAATAATTTTACTTTAAGTGAACTATTAAAAATAAGTGCAAATATGAGACAATGGATTAACATCAAGGATATTTTTTAGCCAAAAAGTGGACGTCAAGGTATTTTAGGGGTGAAAGGTGAATGGATGGTAATTTTATACTAATTAAAATACTTCAGGGGCATTTTAGATCCTTCTCCAGAAAAAAAAATCATGCAATATTTTAGAGGGAGAGGCGGGAGAAAGAAGGTTTGAAAGAATCATGGAGGGATTGGAATGATGGAATTGAACGATAGAGAATATGGGTAATTAATTTGAGCCCAAAACGTGGGATTCAGTTGAGATAATTTAGGATTAAAATACACTTAATTTTCTATATAATTAAAATATTGTCTTTTTTAATAATATTTTTAAAGTAGGACAATTTTCAATAAATAAGTTAGGAATCTTGACTAGTTAGCAAATTTTTTTACTACTAAATAAACTCATATCCGGTCCATTATACTAATTCGTGTTTAATAGTCCACTGTTCATACTCATATCAAATTACAATAGTTAAAAAGATTATTTCTATGAATGAATCTGAGATTGAAGGTTTGAGTTCATTGTTTGGGTTTAAGGCTTAAAATTTAATTCCAAAGGTTGATTGTTGTTGACAAACTCGTGAAGTAATTCTTTGTGTGTTGGAATTCAAAAATAGCTACTTATTTCAAAACTTGTTGGTGAGAAATTTCCAGCTATTGTTGGGTTCTTCAAGTGCAAAAATATTATGTTATGGAAAATTGCTTAGATATGGTAATTGAAGCTTGAAATGGCTATTACAATTCCACCACCAATGTCGACCTATGTTGATTTTAAATGGATAATTTGGGTTGAAATTAGGGATTTGAGGTGCATACCGAGAAATCATTAGTTTGGAAGGTAAAAGGTGCATGTTTCATAACGATGGAGGTAGAAATGGCAGGATAGTAAAGTGAAAGATAAAGCTAGCTTTTAAATGAAAGTTGATCATTTTCCCTAAAAAGAAAATGATTTGCTGAGGCGAAAAAAAAATTTGCAAATTTCTACCAAGATAACTAGAAGTTCCAACTAATGAGAAGCCTAATGAACTTAAAAGGGGATCAAAGCCCGGCAGGAATTACTTATTTTTCGAGACCCTGATATAAATTCTATCCATATATTATCTGATCGCAAGTCAGTTATATGAAAATTAATACATGAACAACCTGTTCCTTATCTAGCTACCAAACGACGCCTAATTGCTTAACCTTGAGAAATGATGCCATTCTGTTCGCTTCTCTTCAAGTATTTGCTTTTAATTAAAAGGATGAAAAGACTTTGGCACAAAATTTTCGTTCTTTATATTCAAAAGATACATGATTTAAGCATACGAGTAATAGGTGTCATCTATATTGATGCAAGTTGTTCCCTCCTACAAACATAATACAAGAAAATACAACTCTTGGGTGAATCCCTTCACTGCTGTTATGGATTCTCTTCCACAGAGAACGAACACCGTCATTATTTTCCAAGAGTAATACACTTGCCAGAATTGTGAATATTATCTACAAACTGAAGATCATCAAACATTTGATCTCTTCTTTAATTTACACCACAAGCCAGTTTTCGTGTGAATAGTCGCCCCCGTAACGAGTTCTACATCCTCAGGAGACCCTTTCAGTTCCACATCAAACTTTTGCAACAACATTGCCAATGCTATTGTTGACTCCATAAGTGCAAATTGGTCACCAACACATTTTCTTGGTCCCCCACCAAAAGGCAAGAAAGCAAAGTCTGATATAATCTGATTACAAAGACGATAAACGCATTGGTAAAAACATAGATTCTGGAAATGAATCTAGTTTTTAAAAAGTTAACAGAATGGCACCTCATTTGGATATAATGCTCCAGGACTTCTAGATGGATCAAAACCTGCCCAGCCTTCAATGCCTTGACTTTCCTTTTGTACTAGGAACCTCTCGGGTTCAAATTCATTAGGTTTGTCCCAGAAATATGGTGACCTATGAAGATTATATACCTGCTTGGATGTGCTTAAGTGTCAATAGATTTCATCAAGATATTACCAACCACTGGTTCAATTCGTAAAGACTCAAGAAGACATTACTCACAGTCGCACAAGAACTTAATACTTTGGAGAAAACTAACAAAGTAAAGGTAAGGAAATGAAAACTGACAGATAGGAAAACATCAGTGCCAGCTGGAATTTCGTATCCATTCTTGTCGCCATTATAGCCCCCTGAGGAGTAAAATAAAGTCTCAACCTTGATAACAATAGGGTGGGGAAACACAATGATTATACTCTTTTCACAGGGTTTTGACCCTTGATAAAGAAGAAATCAAAAGAGTGGAACAAATGTGCCAGAGTTTGCAAATGGAATGAGAGCCACAGCCCACAGATACAGCTGTGTTAGAGGGCATATAAATGCCCATAGCAATAAGGGAAATATGTACAAGACTAATTGAGCCAAGTTCCCAAAACTAGGAGTAGATAACCAAAGCAGTGTTAGGAATCTTACCTGGTAGTATATCTGATGAAAGGGAACGTCTAATAAGCAATGGAGGTTGTGGATACAAGCGCAATGACTCCACAACAATAAGTCGCAAATATCTGAAACAATGGAAGTATGATATAGCATCAAGAAGCACTACAGATCATGCAAAAGAAAACCTCAAATTTTATGTAACTAATAATAGGTAACCCTTAAAAACTTCATCTCATTACTAAATAATAATATATCCAGGAGACCAAGACTGGCTGCAGCAGTCTGTCTTTTCAATTTAGCTGTATAACAAACCATTGTTTGCCAATCTATGATTTTTCCTAGTTACTTCATTTCACGTGATTTTGCCTTGCTCTCCTCTACTTTCCAGGTTAATGATTGTGGTTTTTCAACTGTAAGGACATGTCTTCCTCATTGGTCTTAACCATCTTAATTCCATTTAGTCTCTCTATAATCACTGTTTTAACTGTTAGCCAGTTATTGTTCATTCCTTACCTTATTCTTTTCAGATTGCGCATCTTCCATTGTAACATTCTTATTTAAGCAATTACTAAATTTACGAAAGCATCATTATTCAACGAATTGCATATGATCCTATTGCCTCATTTAACACCAGTAGAAACTGTTTGTAACTTTAACATCTCAAGATAAACATGAAAAACACTTTCAATAGATGTCTTCGCTACTTCAACTCAAGAAAATAGGTCATCTTAAAACTACGGAAAGAGTGAGCATATCAAACTATGTTAAAAAGGAGCATAGGCACACTGAGGGGAAGTACAGAGGTTTACATTTTGAGAGAAAATGTCATAAGAAGTGATTGCTCCTTGTAAAATAACCAGTACTATAAGCTCGATAACTTACTCTAATTTTTTAAGAGACTCGAAGGTCGTCCTTCCCTGACCAAGCACTGCATCAATCTCTGACTGCGCTTTCTTCATTTTGACTGGATGCTTCAGGATAATTTATAAAAGTGAGATTAGCCACAATGTTCATTTGGAGTAAAACAAATCAACTTAAGGAGATCCATTAAAACTGAAGAAAAGAGGTGTGAAGTGGAAAATGGGAGAATGACAAGTACATTATAGGTAAGGGACTTGAAAACTCCATATTCAAACTTGTAATTTTTTAAACTCAAACAATTACAACCTTTAACGTGACAAGTTCTTATTTATGTATTTCCTTTTTGCAACAGTGTAGAAGATATTTATTTTGGGTTGTAATGACCCATACTTGTGCAAGGAGGAAAACAGCCCACGTAAGAACGGCAGCAGTTGTTTCATGTCCAGCAATCAGCATCGTCATCAAGTCATCTCGTAGCTGTCCAAAGAAATTAGTGACAGGGTTGAGATTGTGCAATAAACTACTTACACTCCATGAATTTTGGTCCACAAAAAATATCCTATGAATACCCTCGTGCATTCCATTATGTTATTGAGGAACCAGTCTTACTTGTGTAAATAAAACACACATAAAATTTGGTGACTGTGACAATTTTCTCTCACTTTATGACAGAAAGTTTACAGAAAAGGAACACGATATTTTACCTGACGATCATCAACATCAACACCCCTCATATCAACTAAAAACCGCAAAAGACTTGCATCCTGCAAACTTCAAAAGTTACAATACCAAGACTCGCTGGTCTGAATTTTGCAATGCTCTGTAAAATTGTTTGTATACACTTTGCATACCAGCTAACAAAAAAGAAATAGAAGAAGAGAAAAAATAAGCAAAAAACCTTAAGATTTAAGTAGTCCCTTTGCTGTAGTTTCTCAACATCTGTTTCCTGTGAAAAAATGTAACAAGAATTAAGCTATGGTGCACTATAATTCTTATAGTATTTATAAACATCTGCAAAGGTCCTTTATTTTGTATCTCTTAGTTGGTCAACTATATGAATCCTCTGTGTCCATACGCTCTATTCAGGTCCATTTCATTCCAATACTACATAAGATGTTTTTCAAGGTTAATCAGGGTCTTGAAAACTAGAGATTCACCAACACTCACATTTATCCATTCACGGGCATGCGAGTCTCTAAACAAAATTAGAAGACTTGGAAAACATCAACAACATGATGAAGCACTGCTTCTATGCACCCAAAGATATGCCTGATTATTTACTTAGAGAATTTATTTAACAATGCAAGTATTATTGGCTTGTGATATATGTAAGATCCTAAAGAATACAGATCACCAAACAAGCCTGGCTTCTCATGAAAACAGCAAACCATACTAACTTATAGAAGTACAATCAGATAAGTGTAACAACAAATTTTTTTGCCATTATGGCACATGTAGTCAACTTGAGTGGAACAAACCAACTATCAACCATAAGGCAAGAACAAGAACAGATAAAGGCACTATCCATCCTCTCAAGTCTCACCTGCCTGGTCTCTTTTGCATTTTGTATAAGTCCATCAAGGCAATCATTAATGACCTTCAGATCACTTTGGAACTTCCGCTGCCGCGGAACTAACCATCTTGCCAGAGGGATATTCCAATAGGGGATGTAGAAAGTAGAACGATGCTCAGCTTCAAAAAGTGTACCATACACAGCCTGCAAATTTCACTAAAAGAAAGCATCAGTTTTTGATTGGGAGGAAGTAGATGAGAGAAGATAGAAGAGTATCTGCCGTGTCGAAATTGTTGAAATTGTTTGTCAGCTGTTAGAAAAGCAAATGTGCATTCTTTACTCCAGAACTATAAGATTAGAGAAAAACATGGCATGCTAATAATATACTTAATGCTTCAGCATATTGAGAAAGTAACCGAAGTATCTTCCTGAAAATAAGGAATTTAGTTGCATAGTCAGACCTTAATAACTGGAGACTCTTTTGTGATGGAACCGAAGTCATAATTGAAAACACCAAGCCCAATAATATCTAGTGCTAAATTTGAGAATTCTGTCTCGAGATCCAACTCAATTAGCTTCCCTCCTCCTGACTCTTCTTGTTCAATAAGCTTATCAAATTTCAACATTGTTCTTTCAGCACATTCAGTGAATACTTTAGCCATAGCTTCTAGGTATGATGAGTGGAATCCAGGGGCAATAACTGTCAATCACAGGAGAGCTAGTCAAATTATTTGAAGTGTACAAATGTTCGCACATGAATCCACATGCTTGTATCTATACATCTAATATATAAGTACAAAGGAAAAAGAATGCACAAATGACTAATAGAACAGAAGCAAATCAAGGATTTTAATCTGATGGATTTAACTTTTAAATTACGGGTTCGAAATCTTTCAATGGATTTTGTTATTTATATATATATATATATATATGTTCCGTTTAAAACATATCAGGTTCAATTGAACCTGTATCTCTAACGCTACATCCGCCACTGGATAATAAAAGTTATTCTGACTCTTCATAACCCACACAAAGGCATAAGGATCTCAAATGGCACCTCAACTTTCTCTGTCGTGTGGGATCACAAAAGCTTAGTTTTGTCTTAATACTCCTTTACCTTGAAATATTGGGAGACAGAGAAAAGCACCAATTACCAAGATGATCCTTTTTCTCTTTGGCTACACATAATTTTCTAAAAAGGATAGGGAATTTGAGTCTCCCTGAATTATGTTCCTAATGTTATCTTTTTCTTGTTTTGTTTTTGTGTTGAGGCAGGAGGGGAAGTCTAAGTCGGCTGAATGCCACCATCCATGCAATCAATAGAATTGTTTGTTTGTATAGAACTGAAGCAGAACACAATCATCTCATAATTTATTAGTAGCTTCATCCTCCTCTCTAAAACTTTTATTGGAATACTCATCTATTAGTCATTTTCCTACCTCATTTGACTAGTGATGAGTATCATGACGACACCTCTATGTTTCTGAAACACTGGAACTTTGTGCAGCCTAACTTCGTATCCTAGAGGAAAGTTGAAAGCAAGTGGTGCTACCCTTGATAACAAAAAGGCTATCAGATAACTTTGATGTCAGACATTATTCAAATTATCCAGTCAGAAAGGCATTGCACTTCTGTTGCATAACCGATTTAACACAGCACTATTCTATTTGACCATTCAAAAGACAGAAAAGAGCAGGTATCAAAAGATATGGGAAAGCAGTATCCTTCATCATGGATAAGTTTTGTAATTAGTAAGGGTCAAGCTTGACTACATCAACCGATATATCAGTCAATAATTTCTGCTGCAGGATTATTGGCAACCTTTAGCAGATTATATGGGGAACAAAGTGGGCAGAACCAGGCCAATCCCATACAACACATGCTTACCTCTTCTTCTCTGTTTCCAAGTATCAAGGTCAGCAGGTATCAGCCCTTTTCCCATGATTGGTTCCAAGATTTCAGCAAGGACCCCCTGGTTAGAAATAAGAAGAGCCGAATTACAACATAAAATAGAGTAAGTTGACTGAGTTTCTTGCTGTTGTGCCACTATAAAAATTAACTTCTATCAGCTAATGTAAGTATTAACAAGAGTTCCTTTTCTACCTAACAATTAAAAAGGAAAAAGAAAGGCCATAAGCAAGTTCTTAATAACTTTTGTTTTTTTAAGAAAGAACAAGGCCTGGAATTATTATGGTTTGAAATTGATAGACAGATATGCAATAAAAAACTGTAAATGTGTAATATCAAGATTAAATTATCATACGTTAGTTTGAGTTCTTGCATAAATTAAATTTCTCCATCAAAGAACAAGGAAAATTATTTTGGATGCATCATATAACAAAGTAACTAACTTAATGAAGAACCAAGGAGAAATTACTAGTTGTCTAGAGGTTCCGCTGATACTCCACTTCTTGCAATATTGATTTGCAAATATAATCAAATCTAATAACCAATTCAGATGATTAACTCCCTACACGAATCAATTGCATCCCTTCTATGCAGCAAAATCAGAAAAAGAATGAATAAGAGATGATGTGCAAAGCAACACCTGATAATCAGAGGCAAGTTAAGATATGAGAATATACAAGAGCAGACAACCTTAGATATGCTAAAGAATGAACAAGAGAATTACAAAGAACAAAAGGGGTACAATACCTTGTCATAAGAAAATGCATTCTCACGAAGAATATGCCGAGCAACAATGGGATCTGATACAACAACAAATGCCTTTGGTCCAAAAGCAAGTTTATAGACTGATCCATACTGTCAGCTCAACCAAAAGAAGGAAGAAAATTAAATTTCACCAAGAAAATAGGGGGACAAAAATGAAGAGAAAAGTCGTACAGTATTTGCATTAGATACCTTTTCTAGGGAAAAACCTACAAGTAAGTTCATCCATTTTCTCATTATAAAAATATTAAGAAATTAGTCAGCTTTGATATGAATAATACTCAACATATCCTAGCAAATTCTTGGCTGGTTTTTATTAATATAACTAAAGACCAATACATGTTTGGCACCTTTGTTCTGCATAACCAATTCATTCTAAAAAAGCTGGTAACTATCAAAGTAATCCTGTTGGTGCAGACACATCATAAATCCACATTATCAGTCTCTTCTCCATCATGATACTTCAAATCTCTATTTTCTCACATTTTCTGCCAAATGATGCAGATTTTTTCTTGCTTTGATAAAAGTTATGCAACAACCAACACTCGACAACTTTTCGTCCAAAACAATATTGTGTGCCCTCTGACCATTGAGAACTGAATTTTTAAAAATATAGTACAAAACTAAATTGTGTCTCTTGCTCAAAGGCTATGTTGCTCGGACTCTTCAAAAATGTCAACGAGTGTGTGTCGGATTCTCCCAGAATAGTTATTTTTGGAAAATCCAATAGAGGTTTGACATCGAAAGTAAAGAGTCCGAGCAACGTAGTTCAAAGGTATACAGAGATAAGAGAGAGTATCATACTAAGGCTATTACCTTTAGGAACCAATCATACAATGAGAAAAAAAGTGGGCGGTCGAAAAGGTCAGTCACTGCCCCTTCTGCGATAGGCATTGACCCAATTTTCCCCCCACTCAACAGATCAGTGAGGAGGTTGCTAGCATTATCAAATAAATTCATCTTTGTTTTTGGTTCATCTGTGCCTGTGGACTGACATCTGCATTTCATAGTCCTCAATTTCAGCCAAAAAACATTGCCAAATATATTCATTAGATGCCACAAAAGATAAAGAGTATATCTTATTTCAATCAACATGACTATACTCCAGAAGGACTAAAAAGGTAGAACATGTGCTTATGATGCTGGTAAGCAGGGGGAGGAGCTAGAGTGTTGGTCACAGGCTCGATTGAACCCAATAGCTCTGGTTCAAACCCTATATCTGTCTTACGAATTCATTGAATACAGAACAGCAACAACAACATACCCAGTGAAATCCCACAAAGTCATTGAATATACAACAACAACAACAACATATCTAGTGAAATCTCACAAAGTCATTGAATATACAACAACAACAACAACAACATACCAACAACAACATACCAAGTGAAATCTCACAAAGTCATTGAATATACAACAACATACCCAGTGAAATCTCACAAATTCATTGAATATACAACAACAACAACAACATACCCAGTGAAATCTCTCAAAGTCATTGAATATACAACAACAACAACATACCCTGTGAAATCTCACAAAGTAATTGAATATACAACAAGAACAGCATACCTAGTAAAATCTCAAAAAGTCATTGAATATACAACAACAACAACAACATACCCAGTGAAATCCGACAAAGTCAATGAATATACAACAACAACAACATACCTAGTGAAATCTCACAAAGTTCCCAGTGAAATTCCACAAAGTGGGTCTAGGAAGGATAGAGTATATACAGACCTTACCACTATTTCTATGAGGTAGAAAGATTATTTCTGAAAGACCCTTGGCTCAAGCAAATCAATGCAGTAACTAAAAGAAACAACGTTAATGCAGAGAAACATGACAACTAATAGCAAAACAATGGGGAGAATATATGTAAGGAACCGTAACAACAACAACTTTTTTTGGGTGTATAGCTCAGTTGGTAGAGCATTGGGCTTTTAACCTAATGGTCGCAGGTTCATAAAATGAAAATCTGTATGTCCAATTTGAATCGACCTCAATGGATCTATTTCTGAAAGACCCTTGGCTCAAGCAAATCAATGCAGTAACTAAAAGAAACAACATTAATGCAGAGAAACATGACAACTAATAGCAAAACAATGGGGAGCATATATGTAAGGAACCGTAACAACAACAACACAGTGTGATCACCTAAACACAACAAACTGAGACTACATGAAAAGACTAATACTACGAGCAACACAATGCTCTATACACCACCAAGCCAAATACATGAATAGGTAAAGGCGAAGCCAGAATTAGAAGTTTGGCGATTCTAAATTATAGTATAGAAGAGAAAAATATTACAAAACATGAAAAACACTTTTGTTGATAGTCGGGTTAGAACCCACAACTCTAGCATGAAAAGCATTTTCATTCAAGCCTTTTCCTTACCACTGAACCGTCAATCAATTTTCTTTGGGATTCACAAGTTAACATACATAAATATTTGTTTTGATTTTTTAATATAAATACAAAAAAGCTATTGGGTTCGTCGGAACCACCAATTAGCTTCACCCTGTGAATAGGTAGTAATATTACAATTTTGAACTACCTACCTATCATACCCTCTTACCTAAGATCATTAAAGTTGCATCATATCTTATCTAATCACGTTTCCTCAATACTTGTTAAAAAGATTATGATAAGTAGGCAAAGCGTAGGAATAAAAAGTGGTAGAAAAATGAATGAAATTGAGTTAGTCAATTGGTGTAAAAGGTACAGAACCGCCATGGCCACTCACTAAACAAATTCATGACAGATACCTGATTGAAGACCTTTTTCGGGTAGACCCAGAAGTAGGATAAGAAGAGGGAAAGTGACGGAAAATTGAGTCACTCCGTCGATTCAACACAAGACAGGTGTTGCTGCTACAAAACCCAGTTGCCATTTTCTCTCAACTCAAACAAAACTATCTGTTGAGTGCTAGTGCTGATGGATAGAAAAGGTAGTGAAGCACACCACTACTACAAGTAATTAAACAACTGCCTTTTCATTTTCTTTTTCTTTTACTATAAATATATAAGTTGTTACTCCTTAATTTTGTTTTTTCTCTTCCTTCTTCTTCTAGTTTTCTGCATTGACAATCATTCTTGGTGTTTGGTAGCAATAAAGATGTTTTCAATTTGATTGATTAAATAAAAAAATTTTAAAATGAGAAAAATAATTTCCTTAAAGAAGTTAGAAAAAACAAGTTACATAACTGATATTTTAAGTTTTTTTTTTTTCTCATTTCATCTAATATCGAAAAAACAAGTTATATAAATGATATTACAAAGTTTATTATTTCTTACAAAAAGGGTCTAATATATCCCTCAATTTTGTCATTTAAAGTTGATATACTGCTTGTTATAAAAGTTGTTCTATATACATTTATGGTTATACAAATGGCTTATATATACACCTACCGTTACAAAAGAAACTCACATATACCCTTCATCTAAAGGAAGTGAAAATTTTAGTTTTAAATTTATTTTTTTGACTTTTAATTTTAAAAAATTTATGTAGGGGTGGATATATATGATCATTTTAGCAAAGTTCATGGTATATTTTAATCTTTTTCATACATAAATTTATTTTTGACTTCTTTGATTATAATTATTTTAGTTTCTTATTCTTTATTTTCTTTCATTCTTTAGTCTAAAAAAATTAATTTTAATTTTTTTGCAACTATATTGAAATTTAGTTTTTGTATTTGTAAAAAATAAAAATGGGACATCCATAATAAATTTTACAAGAAAATTAGTGATACATAATTAAATTTTACCATAAAAAATAAATTTAAATTAGTTGTTAAAACAAAAAAGTCAAAAAAAAAAATATGTGTGAGGAGGATCAAATATACCTCATATTATTATATATATTTTTTAAAATAATAATTAAAAAATTAAATTAAAATTATTTTTTTTTCATTTCCGTTAGAGGAAAAGGGTATACATGAGTTATTAGTATAACGATAAGGATATATATGAGTCACTTTCATAACGAGGGGTATATCAGGTTTAAATAGAAAACTGAGGGGTATATTAGGCTCTTTTCCCTTGTTTCTTTCTCATCCACCCAACACCCCCACCCAGCTACCTTTGACCATCCCAACTCCCCACCCCTAGAATGTTCACTCCCAATCATATCTCATCTCTGTAATGTTTTGCTAGGTAACATATAAATGTTCTTGAGATATATTTTATTTACCTTGCAAACATTAAAGGGAAAAGGGTGTGATATTAAGTTTATTATTTAGACTTGGTATATCTCTCGTTATGAAAGTGACTCATATATACCCTTACTATTATACAAATAACTTATATATACCATTTTCCTCTAACGGAAGTGAAAAATTAATTTTAATTTATTTTTTTAATTATTTAAAAAAAAAACTAAATAATTCATAGGAGTATATTTAATCATCCTCATACGTATTTTTTTGACTATTTTTTATTTGAATGACTAATTTAAATTTATTATTTTGATATTCAAATTTATTTATGTTTCATTAATATTCTTGTAAAATTTATTATAGATGATCAGGTTTTTTTTTCAAATACAAGAACTAAATTACAATATAGCCGAAAAGATAGTTTTAAATTATAATTAGCCACAAAAAAAATCGGTTTTAAATTTTTTCTTTACATTAAAGAATAAAAAAATAAGAATAAGTAACTCAAATAATGATAATCAAAGAAGTCAAAAAATAATTTATGTATGGAAAAGATTAAAATATACCTTGAACTTTGCTAGAAGGATCATATATACCCCTACATGATTTTTTTTAAAAAAAATTAAAAGTCAAAATATAAATTTAAAACTAATTTTTCACTTCTATTAAATGAAGGGAATATGGGAGCTCATTTTATAATGGTAGGGGTATATGTGAGTCGTTTGTATAACGGTAAGAGAATATATGAGTTACTTTCCTAACGAGGACATATCAGCTCCAAATAGCAAATTTGAGAGGTATAGGCCTTTTTCCCAACATTAAAAAAATAAGTAATTAACTCACTTATTGTTTAAGAAAATATCTTTATTCATACCAAACACACCCAGTCAAAAACACTTATTTTGAGAAAAATTCATATTTAAAAAAAATTAAGATGTTTGGTCAATCAATAAAATAGTTTTAGAAAATCCATCTCACATATAAATATTCTTGAAATAATTTTTACTTACCTATCAAACATTAAAAAATAAATAAATAATTCACTTATTTTTAAGAAAACATTTTCCTCTATTCCAAACTCATAAATGATAAAATTTACTCTTCAGGTTGTTTATAATAAATCAATATATATATATATATATATATATATATATATATAAAAAAATAATTATCAATTAATCATAATTAATTAATAAATATTTTCACATTATCAAATCACTTAATATATTAAATTACATTGAATTGATATAAATAGTATAATTTACATAAATCACATAGTGTAAAGAGTAAATTACATCATATCCCTACTTTTTTTTTCTAATTACAATAATCCCTTAAAATTTGTACCTTCCGGATACATTAATTCTAATACAAGAAAAATTGTTTTGTTGCGCTAAAAAGGGAATAAAATCTGAAAATTAATTAAATTCCATAAATTATGCTTATGTTTCTTCTTACTCTCAATCATACAGAGGCAAATTCTAATAGAATGAAGAAATTCAAAATTTCAAATTGCTCCCCCCGTTCAATGAAGAAACCTTTCAGATTTGATTCAAAAACTTTTGTCAAAATTTTGAGTAAGCAAGGTGAGTTATACAGGATACAAAGTGATGGAATTGTTGTTGGACAAACGATTTCCTTTTGAATCTTCAAGTTCATCGAATATCCTTTCAATTTTGATTCAAGATTATCAAAAGTTTTGAGATTCAAGATTCTTTCTTCTCCCAGTTCATCGAAGATCCTTTCAATTTTGATTCAAAATTATTGAAAATTTTGAGATTCAAAATTCTTCTCCTAGTTTATTGAAGATCCTTTCAATTTCGATTCAAAATTGTCGATAAATTTGAGAAGATACATCATGAATATCTTTGTTACTTAGCATTTCACTATTTATGTATCTTGTTAAATTGATAAGTACTGTATTTATACTAGATATATTAAATAAATAATTGTTGCCCATAAGATGTTAGATTTGAGATTGATACATTAGTGTGTGGTAGTTGCTATGTAATTGATACATTTAGTATAAATTCGAATTTACGTAATCTAAAAAATTAGTGCATGATACATTACTATTTATGTATCTAGTTTAAATTGATAAGTATTGTATTTATACTAGATACATTAAATAAGTAATTGTTATCCATAAGATGTTAGATTTGAGATCGATACATTACAGTGTGATAGTTACTATGTAATTGATACATTTAGTATAAATTTGAATTTACGTATCATATCTAAAAAATCAGTGCATGATACATTGTGGAATCATGTATCATGAAGGTAAAAGAATCAAATTATGAAAAATTTACAAATATTATACTAATTATTACCAAATAATAAGTACTACTATAACTTTTTTTTCTAATTTACGTTGTAGTCAAATTTGGAAGTTCACTTATTTTATTTAATTATAAATTTTGGAGTACTTTTAAAATAGGTAAAAGACTCAAACATATCCTTTTTTAACTTTTTTGTCTAAAAATATTCTTAACATATATGAAAGAGACTGATTTTGAATTTCAAACGTGAATGAGAAAATAATTGCTAAGATTGTGTGACTAAATATAGGGAGAGATATGTGGAGTGAAATAAGGAAGGGATAAACGTTAGTTTTGAGAGTTAGGATTTATGTATCCAGCGTTTGGGGGTTTGAGAGTAAAATAAGGGATTTTCAAAAAGTTTAGAACTGGTAGTGAATAATGGAAATTATTGAAAACAAAAGGTGTGTATATAGGTAAATCCGTGCGAATAGGGATTTATAGATCTCTCTAACAAGCCTACAAATTTTTTTTAGAAAGATTTAAGCTATATAATTGATAGTCTATTGTTGCTCCCAATTGCACACGCAAGTGTACGCGGTCACGCAAGTAATATAGTGGCTCTTAAAAGAACCAGATTATCGAACTCAAAGAACTTTTCAATCAACTTTACTAAATTATACTAGTCTAATTATTTATTTAAGAGTCCCAAAAGGAAAGAATGTAGGAATAAAATAATAAAATTACTTACAATGATTTAGAAAATTTCAGGACAGCAGCATGCAATGAATCTCATGTATCATATTCTTGGCTTAGAACTAATTTTAGTTGTCAAGTTACTGGTTTACAGGGTTAACTGTATGAGTCGGGTATCAAACCTCTAGTCGCCTACTCCAGTTAGCTGTCTAACTACATCGTTGAGCGGGGATAAACAGGACTAACTGGCGAACATTTATATTTTATCTAGTTTCGTAACCAAGCAAGTTGTTCGTCCGGGCGTCACTCTTGAACACAAACCACCTCAACTAAATGGATCGATCTAGCTCTTTATATTCTCTGGTCTATCTAACCCCTCCTCTCTCGATTTTAAGATTAGACAATAGATTTATCTCTAGATGGCCAGTCAAGAAATACTAAAACAAGAATATAAAAGTAACTTATAATGACAACTAAGAATTAATTCATAAACCTTAAATAATCAACATTCAATCTGTAGCTACAGCCCCAGAACTAAGGTGTTTAGCCATTAATCTCTAAGAAAAGAAAGAAGCAAAAAAGAACCCTAAAAAGTATTGACAACTTTATACTTGATGCCCTATAATTGATCTCCCCAAATAATTATTTTTATGAACTATTTATAGATGTAGAAAATCTAAATAAAATAATTGAGTCCAAAATAAATTAGAAAACGAAAACCAAACGAAATTGAATTTCCTAATTCTACGTGTATTTGGCAACCGCCTCAACCGCTGCTTCAAACAATCTGAAGGTGTCTTCCACTTCTGTCACGTGGAAGCATCCTCTTTTTCAATTGAATTTTGCAACTTTATAGTTTATATTTTATATATTATTATATTGAATTTA